TTCAACGATTAAAAAACAGCTCAATAAACTGTGAACTTTGCTCATCGAATTACATAAAACGGTTGTTCAGTGTTTTTTTTTCCACCAGCATTGTACTTTGAGATCGCAAAACAGTTACATGCACAAACTCATTCATAACAGATTCACTCATTCATGAGTGTCACTTTTAAAAGGTTGAGTGAGCAGTGAGAGGTACAGGTAAGCCTTACAGAGACATTTACAAGCATGCAAATACACATCTGCAAATGCATAAAGGTGTTCTATTCATCCATTTATAGAGTTAATCCAGTTTTTGCACACCTCCATCCCCTGCATCTTCTCTTTCTTTACCTCAGGGACTCTTTCAGCCGTTCTCCCAGGGTTGGTTTGGTGGACCAAGTCCCTTTTTGTGCCACTTCATCCAGACGTAACTCATCCAGAACCCTCCTCTTCACAAAATACTCCCCAACGGAGCAGTCCTTCTTCTCTGTGTCCATGTTTCCTAGACCAAATTCACCAGACCCCCTAAAGCCAGTGTCCTCCTCTACTGCCTGAGGATGTTTGTTGTTACAACACCACACAGTGTATAGCAAGAGTCAAGCCTCCTCACCTCCTATACTGATTGACAGTGCTTGGATTGTGGGAGTGACTGTTCCTTTCCTTTCCTTACAGGAGAAGAACCACCAGCACTAGTTCTCCTTGCATCCACCAGATGCCCTCAAACTCACCTTTCCCCTCACCTGACTGCCCCACCCATCTCTCCACCTGTGCTGTTACACACACACACACACACACACACACACACACACACACACACACACACACACACACACACACACACACACACACACACACACACACACACACACACACACACACACACACACACACACACACACACACACACACACACACACACACACACACACACACACACACACAACACACAACACACACACCTCAGGACATGTGTGTATGATAGTGAATGTCACCTTTTAGTTATTAACTTGGTGAACAACACTTCAAACTGTAAGATAGAAAAAAAATACCTCTTGTATTATCTTTGCACGAGGTCATACATAAATAAACAGCCATAGCTGATGGTGCATACAGACATAACTGTATGTAACATTCATTAATGCATGTGAAAAATCCCACTGTGACTATTCTTTTTTCATAATATGAAAAATAATAAAGTTTGTATGGTTTTAATTGTATGAAACATCTCACCCGCAGACAGCTTGTGAGACATTGAGCTACTGGCATTGCCCAATATGCTTTATGCTTTATGTGATTTGTCAAAAACGAAACAACCCTTTTTCTAACATAAACCCAAAATAAAAAAACACTCAAAATTAGCTAGAAATGTTCTATATTTAACATATAATGTAATGTTATGTAATGGGGTCCATTTCTCTTACACATACTACGCGTCAGATCACATCAAATTACTAGACTAGTACAAACTAAAACTTTATGGATGATGTACAATATGCAATATGTCTCTCTATATATACTGTACATTCTATATCCATACAAAATATTTTACATTCATTATTTTAAATATTTATATATAATAATATTTATATTTGTTATAGAAGTGGTGTCCAATTAATCTGTGTATGTCTGTCTAAGATATCTGACCTGTTGTTGCCGCTATATCTGACCTGTTGTTGCCGCGAAAAAAGCTTGTGAGCCAGTGCTATATTAACGTTTGTACCAAGACATATCATAAAAATACTAAAAACTTTCACTCCAGAAAATATATTTTTCTGAAAGCATGTAGTCCTTTGTGTCAGAAACACAGTCACCAGGCAGTGGTGTTGGCAGGGTTTTTAAGCTGGAAAATAAAAAATATCCATTTGACTCTTTTTCAATGTTATCTTACCTAGGTGTAAAGTGAACAATTCATTTATAAAATAAGGTTTTGCAATAAAGAAATATTGGAAATAGTTTAATTAAAACTATTTAATAAGCATGCTCAAACAAGCTACTTCAACATGATAACAGCAAGCCAGGACACGTGCAGATACATCTTACTAATATAAGTAATTTTTTACATTAACATACTTTTAGGTAGTCATTTTCCAACCTCTACTGTTTTTTATGTTTTCCAACGATCACATGGCTAAACAAGCATTTTACGTTGTGGAACAAATAGCTCATAGGAAAAGATTTCCGTTTTGTGCCTGAAATGACTCACAGTCATGGATGTGTGTTGGACGAAATAGTAAAAGCTCTTGCACATATTAACCCTGGACCCTCACATCTGTGTAAATGTGTGCTGTTAAAGCTCGAGGCTAACTTGATGACGAGGCACAGCTGAAAAGATAACTGGGATAATCCTTGAGAAAATTCCACAACGACACTCACATCTCAGCTCATTCACAGATTACACATTATAAGATCCTATGTTTTGTTTTATTCAAATCAAAGGTGTTTGATGATGATGCCAATGATAATTGTTTCAGTTAATTTGGTCATGATTTGTGCTCTTAAAATTATTTCTGTGTTTCGACACCTCTGCTTTCTTGCTAACTGAGGTTTTCCTTATGGTTATCCTGAATTCTCTTAACAGTATGTTGAAGTGATAAGTGAGGTGCGTCTTGTCCCAAGTGTAGCTTGCTGTTTTGTTGGTGTTAAGGTGTAAATACTTCATAAAATACCATCGCACACGGTTTATTATTTTGCTGCTGAAAACAGTTCCTAAGAAATGTGCTTACATTTTTGTTGTTGTTAGTTTTGGTATTTGTGGCCTCATATATTCTGCATTGTTTTGCTATTAATGTATTGATTTACGACTCAAATCAAACTAACCTAAAGTTAGCACAGTGAGGTAAGAAGAGATAAAGACTTAGAGAGACTAAAAGGAACAGAGAGGGGCACAGTGTAAAACTGAGTGTTATTTGCAAATGCCTCACCATTGGTGCTCTCAGAGGACAGGACAGTCTACATCTCACTACAGTTTAATTATTATTTGAGAACACCTCCTGAAGCTGACAAAAACAAAAGGCAGTGGGAAAAAAAATAAAAAAATGTAAGTGTTGCACAGAATAAGTAAGTCATAAATAAATGAAGTGGCTGTTATCTTGTTTGCTGCGCAATAAACTCTATTTGAGAGGGATTGTGTTGCCCACATCATGTATTAACTCTTATCAATTGGTAAATAGCCAGATAAATCATTGAACTGCCGGGATTAATAGGTAAAGTGATTGTTAACTTGTTGGAGTGACTTGTTTATGTTTCCTCAAAGCCAGTAAGAAAAGGTAAATTCCTTCCCGACCTAGTTTCTAAATAAGGTTTTTTATGTAAGAACAATCTTTTTTCATAACAAGTTACACAGTGATATGCACTTGGTCAAAGGTCTTGATGATGAGCTGGGAACAGAGCTTGCAGCATTACAGAAAATGTCCCTGACACGTGTAAGAAAGCACGTTTCCAATGTAGAGACAAGCTCATGCACATCCTGTGTCACTCATTAATCTGCGCTGCCTATACAGTAGACTGCGGGGCCACATTATTTTGCTCATATTGTTGGTAATGAAGTATGCTCAACTCTGCTTGGAAATATTGTTAGAAAACAATTAGCCTGACAAACACTGTTGTGAAATGTAACCAGTCGTATAACATGGCCAGTAAGCAGACACACCTCCTATCACCTGTTAGACCTTCAACAGACTGTTCTAAATGACCATCATGCTCCTTGTGTTTATACCTTTATATATACAGTCTATGGTTTATACATTTGTGTAAATGTTTAACTGTATGTGCATCTTCCTCGCAAGTACAACAACCCCCGTAAAATGTACCACCAACTGCTTGCTTGCAGCGGTTAGGCCTACTTCCTATTTACCAAAGGTGCATGAAGCTGCTTAGTTCAAATCAGCAGCAAACACCAGTAATACCATACAATCTGCTTTCAAGTGTACTGTGACTTAAGTGTGCTTAAGGTGTGTTAAGGGGAGGCTGTGGCACAGTGGGATAGTGCGCTGAACTTAGTGCGCTGAACTTTGAATCAGGGGATAGCAAGTTTGAGTCCCACTGCAGTCAGCATGTCGTTGTGTCCCTGGGCAAGACACTTCACCCCAAATTGCTCCTGTGGGGATTGTCCACAGTACTGAATGTATGTAAGTCGCTTTGGATAAAAGTGTCTAACAAGTGACATGTAATGTAATGTGTGTTTGAAAGTAGGATGATTACCAGGATAAGTATAATTGATTCAGGTGGTGTATTGTTGATTACATGCTGCAATCTTAAGTGGTACTTGGTGGGTTTAGTAACTTTGAAGTCACAAATAGTATTATTTTCTGAAAGTGAATACTTGTTCCTTTCAACACGTAAACAACCTTTAAATGTAATGCTTCTTATTCTATCACTTTCTATATTAAAGCAGACTTATATACTGCTTGCCTTGCCACTGGTAGAAACCTGAACAGCACCCTGCTGCTCTATTTTAAACTTGTTGAGCAGTGAGCATGCTATGTTCTCACTCACAGGCAGCAACTATCACAGACTTCGAATCGGAACTGCCTGCAAGCAGAAATACAACCATCTTTGAAAAAAGCTGGTGTCAAAAGCAAACATATGAATGCTTGCTCTGGAAAGCCTCTGGTCACCTCTGGTATGAAGCTGTGTTCTGCATGCGCTTTGCTAAAGTCATGCTACCATGCTAGTGCTCACACTCTGAACTGCTGTGCATGTGTGCCTGGAGTTAGGTAACATGCATGTTTAGCACACACTGACAGTGTCACTATGGCCTCCATTTGTGTGTCAGTTGTTGGGCTGCTGCTGAAGGGCAGAACCAGTTAAAGATACTAGTCAACATGGAGAAGAAATACCTTAAATAAAAATGCATTTAGAACTTTTTTCTTATTTTCTGCTCCATTTATCTTCTCATTTCACTTATCCCTAGATATATTTTTTAATAAAACTACTGTACCTTTACTCTGAAAGATTTAGAGTTTACGAAACAAACTGCCTATTTTCAGTTCCTCTTTTTTTTATTTGTGTTTGGCACTACTTTACCACAAGGTCCTCCTCTCTCTGCTGACGAAAGTGGGACAGACATCCAAAGCAAGAGTCCATGGGTGATCCAGGCCTGGCCTCTGCTCAGGCAGAGCATGGATCACTTCTGCTCAGGCAGCTTGAGAGGATGAGGGCAGCCGAGGAACTCACTGATGTGGTCCTGCTGGCAGAGGGGATTCCCTTTACTTGCCACAAGGTGGTGCTGTCTGCATTCAGCCCTTACTTCCAGGTGAAGTTGCTATCTACAGTTACTGAGAGTGAATGTGCTGATAAAGGAAAAATCTGATTTGTTTTGCAGAACTGAAACGATTAAATCTGTTGAGGATGCTATGAGACATTCATTGTTAATCACTGTGTCCAGGCCATGTTTACATGTGGTCTGAAGGAGACCCGAGGAGGAGAGGTATTTCTTAGAGACACTCCTGCCCAGAGCCTGGAGCTGCTACTGGACTACATGTACCGAGCTGAACTCCGCCTTTCGGACGACAACATCCAGGGAGTGGCTGCAGCTGCCTTCCTTCTCCATGTGGATGGAGCCTTCAGGTGGGAGAGGAGAACTGGAAATAGGTCTATATTCAAATAAACGTATATCAATTAGCCCATTGTGTGTATATGGAACATCAGGAGCATCCAGATACCTTTCTATATGTGGTATATGGCAAACAGGATAGAAAGTAAGTTTGAGAAGTATTTTAGTTCCCATCACCACCTTGTTATCGCTGCAGGTTGTGTCAGAACCACATGGAGGCCTGCATGGACCCTTCCAACTGTGTTGGCCTGTACCACTGGGCCAGAGACCTGGGGGCCGCCGGTCTGGCCAACTGCGCCTTAAGATACCTCTGCCAACACTTTGCACAGGTAAGGCATTCATTATTAGTTCATCCAAATATTCTCTCAATTAGAGAAAATGTCAAAACTGTTACTTGGGGTAAGAAATGATGTGGTCAAATGTAGATGTATGTGCAATGTCCATTCAGGCCTTGTGGAACCACCTGCTTAACTGTATCAACATTGTTCTTCTTTATTCAGTATTTGCCATTGATAACTCCCCCTTCATTATCCTCTTGCCTCAGGTTTGTGAAGAGGAAGAAGTGCTGGAGCTGGATGCTCAAAGTCTTGGGGACCTGCTGGGCTCAGATAACCTCAACATATCGCAGGAGGAGGTTGTGCTGGAGCTGGTGCTGCGTTGGGTGGAGAGGCGAAGAGGAGACTTGCAGAGTGAAGCCCAGGCTGTGGAGTTAATCAGGCATGTCCGGCTAGAACTTGTTGACCCTCGATTCCTCCGTAAAACTAGGAGACGAAACCCGGTGAGAGAAGAAAGGGAGGGAAGGGGAGGGACAGCAATAAAAGTCAAGATTCCTTATCAACATTTATCAAAAGATTAGTAGATTGTCAGACTACCATGCCTGTATATACAATGTTCCAGGAGTTGCTGAGGGATGCTGAGTGCTTTGGGTTGATTGACGCTGCTCTCCAGACCCCAGGTCTCTGTGAGGCGTCCGCTGCACCTCGGCCAGCCCTTCGTTACGGCATGGAGACCACCGACCTGCTGCTCTGCTTGGGTGGGGTGGATAAGGAGGGAGTGCCTGCCCGCCGTGGAGGACTTGCTGACCTCAGTTTTTGCTTTGACCCGCATGGCAGAAAAACATACTTTATCCCCTCTCCACTGAGGGTCTGTGGGGGTATGGGGCAGATCACAGCTGGGGCAGTGACACGAGACAACAACATAGTGGTAGCTATAGAGGGAGAAGACCAACACAGAAGCAAGAGGGTAGATATCTACAGGTGTGTGTGTTCACATAAGAATACAATTCATTTTTAAGGCCACTGCTTTCCAGATCTAAAATGCCTTTTTATTTGCCAGGTACGATCAATCAGAGAAGAACAGCTGGGTGAAGCTGTGCTCCACAGCACACAGGGACATGTATGCTTTAGGGCTTCTCGGTGATGCCCTGTATATGATGGGAGGTCAGATGAAAGTTCATAATCACTACATAATCACAGACAATGTTTCTAGATGGTCGCTGAAGAGAGGAGGCAGCTGGATCAGCTTTTCCCCTCTGCCTCTTCCCTTAGCCTGCCACTGCACCGTCAGCCTGAAGGAGCGTCTATATGTGCTGGGGGGCTGGACACCACAGGTACACAGAAATGTTAAAAAAAAATGTCAGCTGTAGATGGGTGCAATGATGTAACCTTGAGCAAGAGTACACTGGTCTATTATCAGGTTCAGGCTAGCCTGATGACAACCAAAAACAGACTTTCCCCACCAATAGGGCTACATTTTTCAAAGGCCCTGAAAGATTATTTTATGTTGACAGCCCTGTCAATCAAATGTGATCGATCCACAATCAGCACAAACCTTAAGTAGATTGACTGACCTTTTAGGTGTTGAACTTCTTAAATATTAGCCATTGCTGTTTTTAGTGAACTTTAACTTTGGTTGGTGTACGCTTAGTGCTTATAAGTATTTAATGTTTTAGAGAAACACTTGTTAAGGGGTAAATCAAATAGGTTTACATTTGAAATACTCTGTTGGACAGGACTGGGATAATAATTCAGGCTGAGAACCTTACATCAGCCCAGGCCATTGTTCACAGACCACTACTGGAGCTGTTTGTTGGCATACCCTCTCTTTTTATCGTCTAGCAGTCAGATGACGAAAGAATAGGTGTAAAATTCACCTTCTCTGTCCTTCACTGTTTCCCCTGGTTCTCATTTCTCACCTCAATGTGTTCTTCCTCCCTCTGTCCAACTCTTGTCTCCTCCATCAGCACCAGCCAGATGATGAGCCTGACAAGCTGAGTAACCGTGTCTTTCGGTTTGACCCCGGCAAAGACAGGTGGACTGAGTGTGCCAGGATGAAGTACTCCAGGTACCGCTGCGGGACGGCTGTCCTCAACGGAGAAATGTACATACTAGGTCAGACAAGAAAGACTGCAAGTTAATTTCTAAGTATTTCTTCTCTATGATATTGTAGCCAGGTGATGTGTTTGTGTGATTTTCAGGTGGTATAGGATGTGATGGAGAAGACTGTGGACAGTTACGACACTGCCTTAGCTCTGTAGAGATCTATAACCCAGACACAGACACCTGGAGGGCAGGACCAACCCTGCCCACGTCTTTACTCAGCCTTCAAACTAACGCCTCCAATGTAGGAGCAGTGCATGGCAAGCTTTACCTCTGTGGATACTACAAGGGTGCTGGTGAGTAAGTGAATGCCTGACAATATTTTTTCCTGCAGCTTCTTTTGCATGATCTCTTAGAGACGTAAACTTCATGGTGAAATGGCCTTTGCACACACAAACTATAGGAACACTTTGGGTCTGGGAATGCCAGCCAACTGATTAGATTAGAATAAATTAGATTTTGGTCAGCTGTAATTTACATACTTTCTCTAACTACTGCAGGCCGTCATGAGATCATCACCAAGGAGATTTTGAAAATGGACCCTGCAGACAATGTGTGGACTGTAGTGGAAAGACGAGCAGCCTTGCATGACAGCTATGACGTCTGTCTGGTCGCTAACCTCAATCCTCGAGACCTCTTCACACCATAATTCATCTCCTCCTGACTCTGAGCAACAAAGCTTGGAGCAAGGATGTATGTGAAATGAGCTTCTGTCCTCTTAGCTTAATTCAGCTGTATTGAAACCTGGCTGGAAATTCCTAAGTAGGCTATCAACCGCAGAGTTAATGTAAAATCTGGATGTTGTTCTATAACTTCCCAACAGACAATAGTGGTGGTGTTTTTTGTTGTAGCCCTATAATAACTTTTTGCATGGTTGTTGTATAAGGTTGTTTATTGAGTAGTAAAAACGATACCAGTTAAGCAGCTATCTTTTCAGCTTTACACGTTAAATGTGATATAGGGGCTAGTCATAACGTTGAGTTGAGTTAAATAAAACAAATAAATGAAATCCTGACGTTTTACTAAACACAGTTACTCTTTCTCTCCATATTCAAAGTATCTGCTTCATCCCACATTTCTTCAACGTTTTCTCAGGAATTTATTTTTCTCAGGTCACCGCATGGCAAAACATTAACAAACATGTCTGACTGAAGTGGTGGATTTAGGGTGAGTTTCTGACCCGCAATACATTCCATACATGCCTTCATCCCTCCTGCTGCCGATTAGCCCTCGGAAGACGCAAAAATGATCCCAAAGGAGTGTGACGCGCCGGGATGTTGCTATGAGAGCTACTTTAGGAACGAGCAGGCTCCACCCATCGCTCCTGTTGCTGTGTTTCTGAGGGGAGGGTTGAAGAGGAAAACACAGCTGCTGCCCAATGGATCGGATGGGTTTCATATGCTCATTTTAAAGCCAATAGACTAGTTTGTGGATCTGTTAACGCTCTTTATCAACAACTGCTTGGTCACGCTGCTTTCGTTTTGTGCTCCAAGTGCTCGGATACAGTTCCAGTGAGGGCTGCTCCTTGTCCGGACAGGTGCGCACAGTGCGCAGAGAGGATGGGCAGGAGTGAGGCTGACAGCAGAGGCGCAATGAACACCAGCGACTGCTCCGAGCTCGGTTGCCCGCGGGACGTGACATGCAGCGGCATCCGTGCGGGTGAGAAGTCCGCGGCGCTGGGAAGCCACCGTGCCTGCAGCGCGGACAAGAGGCAGAGAGACCCAGACATGGAGGGTGCGGCGAGCCCGGCTACAAATGTCACAGAGCCGACTGAAGTAAAGAAACACCAGCACAAACACAACTTGAAACACCGCTACGAGGTGATGGAGACTCTGGGGAAGGGCACCTACGGCAAAGTGAAGAAGGCAGTGGAGAGAGCAAGCCTGAAAACGGTGAGTTTACATTACTTTTGGCACAGCTATGTGAAGGAGGTTTCTTTTATAATCTTAAATAGTTTACATGCAGTATGAAGTATCATTTATGATAATTATGATTATGAATGTGATTGGTCAAAGCCTATATCTGTTTCATGCCAAGAGCAACTAAAAGCTTATTGAGATGATGTGGTATGTTGCTCATGCTTTTGTCTTCCTGGGAGGTACTCAGCTGTGTGTGTGTGTGTGTGTGTGTGTGTGTGTGTGTGTGTGTGTGTGTGTGTGTGTGTGTGTGTGTGTGTGTGTGTGTGTGTGTGTGTGTGTGTGTGTGTGTGTGTGTGTGTGTGTGTGTGTGTGTGTGTGTGTGTGTGTGTGTGTGTGTGTGTGTGTGTGTGTGTGTGTGTGTGTGTGTGTGTGTGTGTGTGTGTGTGTGTGTGTGTGTGTGTGTGAGTTCATGGGTATAACGGTGAACACAGTTCTTGCTTCCTGTGCTGCCAGGCTAAGATGCCTGTGGTCTGACTCACTCAGCACTTGAACAAGGGGATAATGTTACTACAAGACTGAAGGTCTCCTAGGAGTCCGACCCATGTTTAAAGAACTCACACACATTCTGAGGCAGACATTATAATATAATATATTTCTGTTTAACCTAACATTCAGAATATCCAGGTTAAAAATAGAATGAGGTGCCCGATTACTTTGAGTAACTGTGGGTTATTGTCTACAGTCAGCCTGACCAAACACAAAGAGAGAGATACCATGTCAGCCTCACATTCCCCTTCTGTTTCTTAAGTAAACAAACACACTGTAATAGTGATCATCTTTTTTGCAATCAGATTATAAAAGTGGGATAATTATTTGGGCTGCATTCAGTGTAACTGAGAGGCCTACATCTATGAGAACGAATGAACTGGAGGGAGACTGATAGATGAATATATTGAGAGAGGGAGAAAAAGCTATGGTGTGTGTGTGTGTTGGTAGGACAAGGGGAAAATGCTGAATCCTTTGAGCCAGTAGCCAGCACATACCAAAGATTCTTTGAAACAAAACGGACATTATTTTTAGAAACAAGACCAGGGGGCCGTAGTTTGAGGAAGCAGAGGAGGACAGAGAGCAAGACTGCAGTAAGAAGAGGAGGAGAAGAAGGAGGAGGAGGAGAAGAAGGAGGGGGTTGGAGATCACAGTAAAGAGCTGGCCTGAGATTGTCCCTGCATGTCTGAGTTGTTTTTGCTGCAGGAGGGGACTAATGGTGAAATGGAGAGGAAGGAAAGGAAAGGATGATAAATACTTTCTTGGATATTTAGTGCACTGTATGTCCCTTACATTGGCATTAGCTAGAATAAAAAAATGTTAGAATAAAACTGAATGATGCTTATAAGATGCTTAAGCAGATATTTGCAACTTGTGAAAAGAAGGATTGTGATTTGCTGTGAAGGCACAGGGTAACAAATATAATGTATTAGATCATATTAATAACCAGATTAAAGGAAATGTATTGTTTATATTAAGTCTTATATGGCTGTGCAGAACATCATGCATCTCTCATTACAACATCTACAGTGTGTTGCTCTTGTTCAAACATTATCAAATAATGCAAAACCTTATCCGAGAACATTTTCATGACTCACACACATGGCTTCCCTACATGCATCCTATTACAGTTTGGCATTTTCAGCCGATATCACACGTGCAGCACATTATTTGGATGAACAATGAGGTATTGTGAGTTAGATACTTTGTAGGTCATACTTAGACATGACGCATACACAGCACATTTGCATGAACAATGGTGAGATCATATACTCACATACCCACACGCAGAGGAAGTGTCACATACCCACACTTCCTCTGTGCACACGTGCCCCTTTAAGAATGATCTTGGCTCCCTGAGGTCTGAACAATTCCCAGTGTATGCCTCTCTTCTCTGTGCTCTGCTGATCAGGCCTTAATTCCAAGTCTGGGGGGTAAGCCAATGCTTAAACAGACATTAAAATACTTGCTTTTTGCCCTTAGGGAACATTCTTTGAAATACTTTATCCATTCCATTCACGTCTCCTATTTTCAGTCCAAAGTGTGAAGAAAATCCTAATATTTTAGCACTTGTTTAAAGAAAAGATTCCAATGCATTAAAATATTCTTGTTGGATCGCGTCACATCAGTTAGAGAAGGTCGGGTCAGTCCCGAGTGTTCCCTGGAGTGAGTTTGTGCTGTGTTGCATAACCAGTGTGGTTGATGGAGCATGTGAATTGTGTCTTCCAATGTCTTGTAGATGTTTTTCCGGCAGCTGAGAATGTTGCGACCCAGGGTGGAGACCTGCTCTCCTATTGGGACATTGTAAGGGTTGACAGAATAATACAAGGGTTTAATGAGGGCTTTGCTAGGATTTCAACCTCACAAATTAATCCTGCAGTCTCATCTTCACATTATATCAAAACTCTCACTCTTTCTGTTGTATGTTTTTCAAGCTTATAGTATTTTTAAATAGGAGAACCTGATCCTGTTTACTTTACTGCCTCTGTTCTGTCCTTGTTTGGTGCCATTTTATACTCTATCCAGATTGTGTGTGTTATGTTGTGTTCAGTGGTTGGGGGTTACATTGGGGTACAATGAGTGCCCAGGATTAAGGAAACAGAGTGTGAACAGGGCAGCTGTCAACCTTCTGCCTCTGAGCATGCTCAGATCACAGGAGACCTGCTCTTACACATCAAGCCCTTAAAACCCACATAATCACCTCTAATACCCACAGATTTTAGTCTTCTGTGTGTGAGTATATAACATGTCTTTGTTTCCATGCATGTGCAAGTTATACATGAACTGTCCATCTATCAGTGTTTGTTCACAGTTTGAATAATTCAAATTGTTGTGAGGAGGTTAGGGGGGAAATGAGTTAACCGGGTCGAGGAAAAAAAAAATTGACGAGGAATCTATATTTGATGGAACAAGAGCTTTTGAAAATAATACACCAACAAATGGTTGTACAAGGTATTAGCAATCCCCTAACAGCTGTTTTCCTGCTGTGGAAGATTGTTCTAGTGCTCTGTTGTCAACCTGCAGCAATCCAGATAAATGTGTTTTGAATACAATAATTCGAAATACATGCACAGACTCTCTGACAGTGTATCTCCTTTCTCAGGTGGCGATTAAGTCAATACGCAAGGAGCGTATCACAGATGATCTGGACAGAATTCACATCCAGAGAGAGATTGAGATCACCTCCTCGCTCAGGCACGCCAACATTATACGCTTCCATGAGGGTAATTCTGCAAATACAAAAGGACTGTACACTCACATCCAAACGTAATGGGGCAGGTGCTGAAAATGACCAGAGAATTAAAAACTAATAAACATATATCTCGCATTGTGAAAGCTTCTTCTTTGGTTTTCATTAGTCTGCAAACACAACACAAACACAGAGGAGGTGTAACACATTGTGAGTCTGGATCTTTGCATTGGATTCATTTACAATACAAATATCACCATATCATTAAGAAGTCTCCATTATAGTATCAATTGTTGGATTGGATCCTGTTTAATTCTGGTTCATATTTAGATGAAAACAAATGCAGAAACAACACATTTTCTTTTAGTATAGTGATGGTTTGAGGCATTCCCTGATGTTCATGTCAACACGTCTGCATAATTCTGACCTGTAAATGTTTCATGTGTCCTGCGCAGTGTTTGAGAGCCGGGATAAGATTGTGATAGTGATGGAGTTCGCCAGCAGGGGAGAGCTGTACGATTACATTCAGGAGAGAAGGAGACTGCCTGAAACAGAAGCCAGAGGCATCTTCAGACAAATCACATCTGCTGTCCACTACTGCCACAAGGTTTGCACACTCACTTTTTGCAAATACACCTCTGGAATTCAGTATACATTTGGGAACCACATGTGGGCATGTGCTGAATTGCATGTTGCGTTATTCAACTGTGTGCAAGCAAACACAGAACAGCTAAATCCACAAAATCGTATCTTATCTTAAATACTGCATACAAACTTGACTTGCGTTTTCAGATCGCCGAGTAAAGAGCGCATTAAGCCATGATTGTTTTAAATAGTCACACACTGCCACATTGACTGTTCTCCCTCCAAAATAATGTAAGCCCTGGAAAAGGAACACATTTTTATTTTCTTAGTGC